CTATACAACATATATTTAGTCTCGTTTTATCTAGTACATTTTTCTAAACGATATATTTTTTACAAGATTTCTATAAACTACCCACACAACAAAAATGTTACAAAGCTATCTTGGAGATATTTAAATATCACAATATCTGATACAAAAACTATTCAGATATCGCTTGGATAACTGAGAGATATCTTCCAGATTCTCAAAAGTCACGATTATTCCATCTGAAATATGATATCTGACTTTACATTAAGTATTAGATATCTATATTTTAGTAAAATCGGATATTACATATTGCAGAATAGGCAATGTGATAAATAAAATATATTTTTTCTTTATCAGTTCTGACATAAATTATTAAGGAACACGACCTCCATAACTCAGCCTTTACTTTTTATACTATTATTGTTAACTCTTTTCTTTTCATTTTCTGTCGTACTTTTTTGTCTGATTGTAAGTTTAGAAATCTTGTATTGAGGAAAAGTTGAATAATAAAAAATTATTTCAAAACAAAACAAATAATAAGAATAAAATATAAACAATAATTTTTTAAAAGAAATATCAGAAGTGTGATATCCTTAAAATATTCAGGATATACATATCATCTACGAGATATCTCAACTATGACCGGTGAAATAATATCTGAATCAAGTTTCAGATATATTTTGCTGTGTTGGTAATTGAAGAAAATAGTATACAATCAATTCGAGTGAAGAGAAAATAGAAAAGGATAAATAATAAATTGATAACAAAAATATCAGAATTACCAGAGTAACTTAATATACTAATATTTCTATAATTCACGTTAAAAGATTAAAGATTTCGCATTCGAGTATAAATTACATAGTAAATGTAACTTACATATTAAAGATTCTCTCTTCTAAAGAGTTCTTCAATTAACAGAGCGACAGAGGAGTTATATTGACCACCCATTCTATGGAGGAAGCCGATGCACTGTGTTCAAGAGTCGGTATAATGGTGAAGGGTGAGCTGAGATGCATCGGTTCGACTCAGCATTTAAAGAATGTCTACGGTGCTGGCTACACCCTAGAAATGAAGCTAGGTGGTGATTGTACACCGACATCCTCCAACGACAGGATCGCCAGTTTAAAGGAATTCGTTGCTAGCCTCTTCCCCGACGCGACTTTGGAGGAGAGCTTTGCTAATCGACTAGTTTTTGCCGTGCCTCAACATGCAGTGAAGTCGCTAGCTGAGTGCTTCACACAATTGGAGAAAGGTGAGAATAAGCTTGAAGAGATTGAGGAATTTCTTCCGAATTCAATAATCGGCTTGTCATGGGCCCCAAAAAAACATCAAAATCTAAAGATATTTTTTTATAGAAACGAGGAACGTTAAAGAACATTAGAACTAGAAAGAATTTAGAAAAAGCAGTTTCATTAATTTTTGTTTAACATTTGGGATATCTGAATTTTTTTAGTAATTTCGAATATCACTTTCTTAAGTGTACAATTTCTAAGTTGCAAGATTTTAAACTTAAAAACTTAATGCAATTAATAATAAAATAAAGATTTGAAACATAAAACTACGGTTTATTTAAAAGCTCTTTGATTAAAAGAGATACTTAATGACTTAAAATGCAAATTTTAAAGGCTTCGAATGTAAAACTTACTCACTTAAGAATGTAAAATTTCAACCTTATATTGTAAATTAATCGTAAAGGAAATTTTCAAAAATTTATTGAAAATGTCTGTTTGCAGCTAAGCTTGAACTGAACATAGAAGAGTACAGCTTCAGTCAAAGTACTCTGGAACAGGTGTTCCTCAAGTTCTCGCATTAGGACACCTCTCCAGAATGACGATGTGTCGTCGTTATGTGATAATCTCGTAATCAATGTCCGCAGAATAACTATTTATTTGCAAAGAAATATATTCAAACTTGATGTATTTAATTGCTTGGTTTCTGGAACTTGCTGTTTATATATTGTTGTAAATTGTGAAATAATATATAATAATATAAGAAAGTAGCGCCAAATTATGGCGCTCAACTATGTGCTCTTTGCGATTCGTCATACACTATTGTCATACACCAAGTGCATTTCAGTATAGTATAATAATAGCCCAGATAGCACAGTAAATTCGCAAAGTATTCTGCAAGTTTTCTCCCTTTCTGAATTGTAATTCTTCAAGAGTTCACAGAAAAATACAATAAGAATGATTACGGAAGTTACATGTACCATAATAAACTTCGGACGAATACTTTAAGACGAACTTGATTGTGGCTGGTTCTTCAAGAATTCTTCAGATATTCAGTTTTCTAATTCTGTAGATATTTTCTTTAAAATGAATTCTTTATGAACTTACGTTTACCTTTGTGCTATCTGGGAAATATATTTATTGTTATATTAATACATTATTATTATGTTATATTATTTATATTATTTATTTGCATTTTATTTATTTATTTATATTTTATGGTCTGTTATATGTCATATATGTGTATTATGTATGTAATAGATAATAATAAACATATGTATACAAAATACAGATTTGAATTATTCTACAATGCCGTATATCTGCTGCGTATCGAAGTGCTTTAATAAATTTGATCGGGGATAATATTACAACGTTCCCTTGAAAACCTGAGATTGTGTTTGAAGTGATTGCTTAAAATTCTATGTAGAATAAATCCAAATAAAAATAAAATCTAAAAATGCTTTCCCATTTTCAGGTTCACTTCGAGCCATCGGATATTAGTTAGCTTATGCTTTTATTTGAACTTCAAAAGAACTCGCACGGACCTTCTTGGGAGCTCCTATATCCGTCTTTTGAGAGCTCCCTGAGAGCTTCATTTAAGCTCGCAAGGAATTCAGAAATTATGTCTTAAGAGCTCTCAGCGAGCTTCAAAGTAATTCCCGGGAAGCTTTCACATAAGCTCCTTGAAAAATTTGTACGACCACTATTGCGAGCTCCCTGGAAGCAGCGACATGATTCGCATAGTTTTATTTGCGCTTGCAGAGAGCTCAGAAATCGTGTTTTGAGAGCTTCTTGCAAATAAAAATAGTTCGTGCAAAGCTCGCCGAGAGCTGCTCAATCCGCTTTCGCGGGATTCCTGTTTATAGTGATCACTATATATTTTATAATAATTATTAGAAACATTTAATTACTATTTTATATCTTGAAATAAAAAGTATATATTTTACGTATACAGAAATACACTAATAATAATAATTTCCAATAATTAGGTATGTGTGTGTGCAAGTTATCCAACGTAATTTTTATTCTATTTATAAAAATCTTACAGATATTTCAGCCCAGCGAAATAAACTCCCTGGAAGCTTGTTTTGTCGAACTTTGTAAGCTTCCTGGGAGCTCAGCGAAATAAACTCCTTGGAAGCTTAATCAGAGCTCTGTGCTGTGTGTGAGTTTCCAAGTAATGCCGATATGTGATTTGATACTTTTCCTCATTTGTATGTTAGCTTGTGCTCACAATCTGTATCATCATGATATTACTACAAAACATACGTCATATTTCCGTCAATATCGGAAGATCATGACATGATGATACCTGATCATCAGGTTTTGCTATCTGGGAGTAAGATAACGGTCTTTGTAGACGAGATAACCACTTTTGCTCGCGCCGAAAACAGGATCTGGGAAAATGTGATAAAAAACATATTTTTCCAGAGTATTTTCAATACTTGTAAAACAAACAAAGAACATATCGATCACTTTATAGCTCAGAAATAAAAAATTTGTGGTTTTCATGAGGGTTACATATTTTTCTAATTTGATACTATATTTTTTAAAACCCTGTATATCTCTGTATTCACCAACAGTTACATAACAACAATATTATAATTTTCCACTCGACAATATAAGTATAACATAACACATGTTGCACGTCAGTTGCATTGTTGAGTGGAAAATTATAACATTGGTGTTATGTAAGTATTAGTTGGTGTTTACTGAAATCCGCGTAAAGTACGATGTCGTTAACGTTTACAGAATAGACACCTTAGTCTCCCGTGATGAAAATTTTTCTCAAAATTCTTTATATAATTTTTAATAAGTTTTAATAATTTTTATACAAATTACAGAATTTTCCAATTTTTTTCAAGAATTTTTATAATTTTTTAGAATTTTCCAAATTTTTCATATAAATTGATACGCTTTCTAGAAGTGTCTAGAATCTTATAAGATATTGCAGAGATATCCGTTATCGCAAATTAAGTAAATGCAATGAGTATGTGTTACAACAACACGTATTTAGGTTCCTGGAAGTGACTAACTTATCTGATTAGGCTGAAAAAAGTGATTCATGTGCAATAAAGTCCACTATCGCACTATACTAACAATAGATAAGTCTTACCTCTCGGTTTCAAATAATCCAAAAAATATGGTTGAATATATTATAAATAAACCTCGTATTAAACAACATGACTGAAAATAAGTATTTATATGAAGTTGCCCACGCGGTAAATGTATCATAAAGAGAGTTCGAAGATATCTAATCATTAGATATCTGATTGAAAAAGTTTTTCAGATATTATTGGGATATCTGATTGAAGCTTCAGATATACTTGTGCTGGGTTGGTAAGAAGAAGCCATTTCTCAATTTATAGACATTTTATTGTTTACAATTATTCTAATTGTATTTTAGTTTGAATTCTATTACTGTATTTTATAATACAAGTATCTTTTTCAGGCAAACACAGTTAATTATATTATTATATTATATTTAGTTAAAATTTATAATGGTAATTATTTATAAATTTAATTAATTAATTAATTATTATTTAATTATCATATAATTTTTAATAACTATTATTTAACTGTTATATAACTTAGGCATAACTTGAACAGTGTTAGAACTCTCGAGAATAAAATCTATAAAGGATTATTGGACACAGTTCGATTGAGCCTTTAAATGTGAGCAGTCGCGAGCAATTGATTAACGCATTTTAACGTAAATTAAATATCAAACACTTAAGTACACTGCTACTACGCGAATTTGTTGTAGAGCAAACGAGTGAGGACAGTAGATAAAAAAATGTACGGGGAGGAGGAATGTGGTGACGCAGTTGTGTAAACTCAGCTGATAAGTCAAAACGAACGTGACTGTTCTGCAGTTGCAAGCTTACATCCGGAGTTTAGTTTCTTCTCTTTGCTCGTGTGTTACTCGTTAAAGCGAGAAAGTGTGAGATATCATGGAAACATCAAGTGGCAAGTGACGTTCAATACGCGACAGATTATAATGTTGTTTTGCTTCCTCATACAGGAAGCTTTGTTTTCATCCGAAAATTTTTTCCAGTTTTCAATGCCAATGGGTTTAGAATGTTTTAAAACGTCAAAAAAACACTTATTTAAAAATGTCTGTGTGTGTGTGTGTGTGTGTGCGCGCGCGCAATAATTGTTCGCGCTCTCACCTCCGCAATTTTTTATTTCCAACTGTCATTCGCATTTATAATTTACACACGTGCGCGAGAAAAACCGAATAATAATAAATGCATTTTAATTTGTTACAAATACATTAATTTTGCATCGCGCTTTTAAATGCAATTAATGGAATTAAAGGAAATTTACAGAAGATATTTGGGAATTAAGATTAATAGGCTGTTAATTACGTTACGCTTACCGAGTCTTCGCGTGTCACGTTTGCATTACGAACCTCGTGTATATAATATACTCGTATATACACACGCTTGTGTTAGAATGTTAGATAATGTCTTCTGCGACCTAGAAGTATATATATACTTACATATATATGTATAAGTATATATACAGGGTGTCCTGAAATTCGCGAATCAAAATACCATAGCAAGAAAGTCGTCGAAAAAATAAATTAAAAAGTTATTTGCCATTTTTCGTTCCGAGCAGTAGTTATTTTAGATAAAAAGGTTCAAAACAGGCCAATCATACATTACGGTTGAACGGAAACCTGTCCGTGAGTCGCGCGTCGATAGTGTTAGTGCACTAACACTATCGACGCGCGACTCACGGACAGGTTTCCGTTCAACCGTAA